GCCAGAATAAGCCTGTCCCTGAAAAATTCGAGCGTTCCTTTATTTCTAAAATGGTCCAAACTGTTGCTGCCACTATTGCTTTCCATAGGATTCTGCCCGCCTTCGGCCAGTGAACGGCCAAGTTCAAAGCGAATAGGTCTTTAACAGTTGGAGGTAGAACCCATTGCACCCCGAACAGTTGTAGAAGTTGACTCCATAAACTATGGGCCACGATACAATACGGAAACAGATGGTTATTAGATTCCTCTTGGCACAAGCACATGATACACCTATTAAGAATAGGGATCCCTTTCCTTTGTAGGTGATCCACAGTGAGAACCTTGCTTGAACCTGCGAGCCAATTGAAAGTTTGGACCTTTGGAGGCACAATAGTCTGCCACACCTGAGAAAGAATCGAGGAAAGTAAGGGGTTGGGTGAGCTTTTTATAGAAGGAAGCCACCGTAAAATTCCCTAAGGGAGCAAGGGACCACACCAACTTGTCCCTTCCCTAAAGAGGGATAATGGTTTTGTACAGCAGTGACGAGAGTGAGAGGAATTGCTTGGATTCCCCCTTTGAAAGGTTCCTTCTAAAAGAGGGATACCATCGTCTTCTTCCTCCTTCCAACTAAACTCATCCTCAACAGTAGCCTCTCTATTCACCGCGATTGAGAACATAGATGGATAGCATTCCCTTAAAAGGGGTATGACCAATCCACAGGTCGGTCCAGAAACGTACCCTCATACCTAATCTTGGTCAAAATCTAATGCTTTTCCTGAAAAGCTCAAGTGTGGCCGTTAAGGACCTCCACACCCCTGAAGCATTAGACCAAGGTTTGGTCTCTGGGATCCAAGAGTGTACTGGAATTTTGTACTTGTTCCGTAGTACCTGAGCCCAAAGGGATTCCGACTGGGTGGCCAAACGCCACCACCATTTCCCTAAGAGGGTGAGGTTATGTTTTCTCAAGTTTCTAATGCCCAGTCCTCCCTGGTTTTTGGGTAATAGAACCTTGTTCCAAGAGATAAGATGAAACTTAATTTTATCTGCTTGTCCTGACCAAAGGAAGTTCTTCATGAGTTGATCAAGTCGATTAGCCACCGAGGCCGGAATTTGAAAGAGAGACATCAAATAAACTAGTGGATTGGTTAGGGTGGCTTTGATAAGAGTGGTTCCACTAGATTGTGACAGGTATCTCCCTTCCAAACCAGCTAACCGTCTGTCCACCTTATCAATGACATAGGATCAGTGTCTCTTTTTAGGTTTCCGAGGCCTAGAGGGAGGCCCAAGTATGAAGTTGGGAGGTCCTCCAATTTACATTCCCACTTTGTAATGAGGTCTTTGATAAGGTTGGTAGTGATGGCAACACCCATCATATTTTATTTCACCATATTTACATTGAAACCAATAGCCATCTGAAAACATTTAAGGTAAATTCTGAGGTTTTCCACCTCGGAGGGGGAGGCATCAAGGAAAACCAAGGTATCGTTTGCATATTGCAGATGCGACACTGTGGGCCCTCTTCTTGAGGAGGTAAAGCCGGAGAGAAGGTCAGCTTGGTAAGGCCGAGCTAGGGATCGGCTAAAGACCTGAGCTGAGATAGCGAAAAGATAGGGGACAAAGGGTCCTCTTGTCTCAGGCCTCTCGAAGACCGGAAGTACCCTTTGGGAGTACCGTTGATAAGGATAGAGAAGCAGGGGTGAGAGAAGCACCCCCTCATCCATTTTTGCCACTGGTCTCGAAAGCCCATACGAACCATTGTCTCGTTCAGAACTGGCTAGTTAACATGGTCATAGGCCTGTTCCTAGTCAATTTTGAAAATGAGACTGGTTTTTTGGCTAGGTGTCTCGAGTGAATGCATTCGTTAGCTATCAAAGCCCCATCAAGGATTTGTCTACTTTTAATAAAGGCCGACTGCGAGGGGGAGATGACTGATGGACGAACCTGTTGGAGTCTAGAAGCCAGAACCTTAGAGAGGATTTTATAAGTAGAGTTGAGCAAGCTTATGGGATGGAAGTCCTTAAGTTCCTTTGCCCCTTCGACCTTAGGAACCAGAGCGATGAACGTAGCAATGATGGATTTGTTGAGATTACCCCGCTGAAAAAACTCAGCGAAGAAACTTAAGAAATCCAAGCGAAAAGTTTCCTAAAAGGTCTTAAAAGGGGCGACAAGAAACCCATCAGGCCCAAGAGCTTTGTCTTTAGCTGTTCAACTCTTGCGGGTAATTTGGGTAAAGTGTTAAGCTATTCAACTCTTGCAGGTAATTTGATAAATCCCAAACTTTTCTTATTAATATAAAGTGTATAAGTGGAGTATGGGGGTCATTGAAACACCATTGTGACTTATTCTCCTCCCTTTCTCCTTAGTGACACTCTCCTCTCTCACATATATACCTCTATCTCCTAAATCTTGCCATCGCTTATAATATTTTATTTCTTTGCCGTACTTTAACTATTATTACCATGGCTAGGAAGCTAAAATTAGACAAACGCATAGATGCGCCTATATTTTGGATGAAGAGACGATGACTAATGGGCATGTGTACAACTCATGATATGTTGGATTCCTTAAGGTTTGCTCACCTTAAAAGAAGAACAATGATCATTAATTTGACTTTTTTTTTTTTTGATAAAGTTAACTTTTGTATTGCTGTGAGAGTAATATGAAACAGAAGGGGAATCAAAAGTACCCACAAGTCGGGTCTCTCAGTCAAAAAAAAAAATAGGTAAAAAGACCCTATACAAAATATTGGGGCTTATAGAATTCCCCGATTACAAGGAATGTATAGATCGTGAGTAAACAAAGGTACGCCCACTGTGGTCTAGAGCAAAAAAGGAGATGGACCGACAGCTACTATAGAACTACAGCAAGTGTGAGTAAGGAAGGGTACGCCTACTGTGGTCCAGAGAAAAAAAAGAGATGGACCGACGACTTCTATTGAAGAACTGCAACCTAAAAAATGCTCGTCTAGACGAGGTCTTTTGCTAGAGCCCTTGCTCCGTCTTTCGTCAAAGATCGACGAACTCGTTCGACGTCCTCCAGATATGCTTCCATAAGACGACCATATCCCTGCAAGTGTAAGCAATCTTATCAAATACAGAGGATACGTACCAAGGATGTGGTGAGGTCCCGACTGCCCAGGAGATAGTATTTTGAGTGTCTCCTTCCACACAAAGGTGTGATCCCCAAGTACGGTTGAATCTTTTATTCCCCAAGAGCAGAGCCATGACTTTAGTGAACTGAGAATCTCATGGCCTAAGTGCTCGGAATAAGTGAGCAGAATGTTGTGTTGATGGTCGTGGAAGACTCCACCGGCTCCTGCTATGCCAGGGTTCCCCAGAGAGCAACCGTCGAATTTAATTTTGATGGTGCCTTCTGGAGGAGCCAACCGATTAATTTGACTTGTGCCAGCAACATATCATTCTGAGCAAATGTTCTAATTGACCAAATTTGGCAATATTTGTCAAATGCTTTATCTATTGTAACGCTCCCATAAAACTCTAATACCAAATAATGTTGACCAACAGTGATGGACTAATATACTTAGTTAACAACTGTTTCTAATACAGTGAATTCTTAGTTTGACAGAATTCAGGTTTACAAACTCAGGAAACAGTCAAGCACTACCGTTATTCCATCACCAGAATCTTGCAATGCTCTTACACAAATATAATTTTCTAGTTTAAATGCCCAAAGAAAGTAATCTAGGATAAGTATTGGTCCATTAACATATAAATAATCATGATCAAGTCTAAAGATAGTACGATCAAAATTATCAATATGCCAACGATATATGTAATTGACCATATAATCATAATGACTAATATGCCAGGCATGTCACAAGTGAAGTATACGACTAACATGTTTACACAACCTCGGGAGTGTAAAGGACCTGTCAAATATTTGAGATAAGCTTCTCTTAACCCAGTTTGCCAAGTTGTGCACCCCAATTCAAGTTTCGCCTATTTATGATAAGCAACATATTAATGCAAATCCACAAGTTGTGTACTCCTATGGAACCATATGCTCAATGTTTTACCATTTATATCCTTGCAACGAGTGATCCTTTCCCTTCATAGAAATGGAGAGTAACCAATTCCTTTTGGGCATTTTGATCAAACGATTTTGCATTATTTTCTTCTACTCGGTAAAGCTCCTGCTAGGGTAACAGGTTCAGATACAAATATAACCAACAGCACAGAGCTCAACTTTTGAAATCTAGGCATTTCAGAACAAAGGCCTTAGAATGCAAGGTCCATGTAACTAAGTGCCCCTCGTCATGATATAGATCATAATGCATCCTACAAACCAGAGATGATAAGTTCCTAGTTAAAGGTGGAAATCACAAGTTTCACTTATATAAAATGAAAAAAAAATGAAAAACACAACTCATTCAGTCGGAAATTACAAGGAGTTGCTGAAGCAGCAGGCATGCCTAGTGAAATTCAATAAAAAGCCGCTACTCAATGGCTTTATGCAATAAACAGATAACAAATCTTCATACTTCCATATTGAGACTACCCTGGGGCTTTAGCTTCTCTTCGGAAGTTATTGTTAGAGACCGAAACCCCATGACCATCAAACCTACTCTTAGAAATAAGGGGAGATTTACCAGCAACTGAGCATATTTAACCAAAGATATTTAAAAAGTTGGCATTTTGATACATTGGTACATTTTAGCATATCAAAATAAAATTTGCAGAGATGAAATACAAATAAGTAACTGATAATATTTAGGATATCACTATAAATGTAACATGTCTGACAGGTGTAATTTGGTGCATTGATACATTTGAGCATGGGTGATAAATTTTGGCGCACAAGATTCATTTCAGATATCAGAAAATAAATTAAAAGGAGAATGAAACATATCGTGGGAGCTAGTATTTCACAAGAAATCAGCTCATATTGTATACACAAGAAACATTGTTAGCACTTTGTACAAAGAAATTCGATCAGATCCAAAAGATCAGAAATACTAGAAGACTGTGAAAGAAAACCAGTCACAAATTATTCCAGGAATACCTTATTGAGATCCTCTTCACATTCAGAATTTGATATTAAATGGAAGAAAGTCTCAGAATTGGGTTTTACATCTGCATGCTCCATTTGCTTGAGAACCATCAATCCACTTCGAGTGTTTTTCTGCACATAATTTGCAGGATAAGATATAAGTACACTTTTTGTGTGGACAGAACCTAACTTCATAAAGGGGAAAAAATTGCAATAAAAACATAGATCATAGAAAGACCCCAACTGAACCTATATGAAAAACTAAGTTCCAAGTTTCTCACTTGTTAATGATGTCAATTATAGATGCCGGGATCAGGGTAGGGACAGCTCCGGGAATCAGATTGGGAGCGGGCAACATTAAAGGGTAGAAGGTTCCACACAACCTAATATTAAGGGATCAAGATTGCACTATATTAGGAAGATCAATTCCAACTTCAAAGGATAGAATGATAAGTTCTACAAGTATGACCTACCATCTCAATAAAAATCGAGGTCGAGTGCATTTAACTAGGGTTTCCTAGGTAGGAAGTGTAGACCATATGATATTTTAAATAGTTAATAAATTTTCTAAAAAATTCAAATTTTATTAAAACTAGACAAAATCCGATTATTTTATAATATTTTAATTTTTTTGTACTCCTGTAGTGCAGTTTATACATTAATTAACAAAAAATAAAATCAATTATTGTAAAATAATGTAATTTGTTGCATTCTCTGAGTGTAGTTTATGACTATGTAACATAATACAATCACACCCATCTTCTTCGTTGAAGATAAAAATATTATCAAAGTAATAAATTGAAGAACAAGGTTCGAACTCATGACTTCTCAAAGCGGCCAATAGCGACAATACAATCTACCACCACCGAAAATCATGTGTTAACTAAACATGCAACTCATATACTATAGAAAATTTAATGTGCAAACTAATTATGCAAAATTGACAATATTGAGCATTAAGTTGAAGCACAAGATTCGAACAAGCGCCCTATTAAAGAGGCCAAGAGGAATGGTATAGTCCTAGCACCAAGGGAATCCTGACCCAACATTGGTGGAACCTCGGGTCAGTTTAACCATGAACCTTAGATACCATACAAAGGAGCGAAAGCCCCTTCCTTGTAGCGCAGGAGAGCTTCCAGAGGGGGGTCGAGCCTGTCAAAAAAGAGAGAGAGAGAGGCTGAGTAAACGAAGGGAGCTGGCTGGAGGCAGTCACGTTAGCGTCACTCTTCCTCACTCCACTCATGCCAATCTATAATAATAACTTTACATACAAAAGACAATAATACCCTTAAGTATTATACTAATGTCCTAAAGAATTGAAAAAGGATAGAAATGCCCTATTGGCCCCAAAACAAGATACATCGAAGAAACCGTTAACACTCCCCCTCAAGCAAGAGCATAAATGTTACTCATGCCCAGCTGGAAACAAATTGTTTGGAATCGATTATGACCAAGGGCTTTGGTGAAGACATCTGTCAGCTGAACATACAGAGTAGACACTTATTAGTAATCTTCTATCAAAAAATAATAGTCTACTTCAATATGCTTAGTTCTCTCATGAAATACTGGATTACTAGTTACATCATAGTTCCTAAAACTCTCACCGAACGTCACGATTCTGATTCGGAAGCCCAATTCAGCAATTACGACAAGGAATATGGAATCTCGATTCCTTATTATATGAATCTCGATTCCAACACTAACAGAATCTCGTTTTGTATATTTTCTGATTCTCTATTATGCAAATGGTGAATCTCGATTCTACACTTGTTGAAACCGGTTTCCACATATAACGATACTTAATTCAGTTGTTTTTTAATCCAAATTCCTGAGCAACAAGTACCGTGATTCGTAGATGCAAGAAACAACAAAGTAATCAAACATCAGATCTTGTTTCCACTTTCATAAAACCTTGATCTGTTTTCTTTGGAATCGTATTACCAGAAAATCAAATACTAATATTCTAGGTGCATAAATATGTGACTTATAAATTGGCTGAAATATTTATGGATTTTGATTTGAGTTGTTAGGAAGCCTGACTTCCGCTTAGATTTTCTCCATCTTATGCCTACGAGCGAAGCCAACCTTCACTTAGACCTACCCCTAGAGTGTCTCCATCATCTACCACGATCACACAAAAGCTCTTCATTGCAGCTGGAAGGGGAGGAAAAGGAAGAAACTGTAGACCCTAGCCCCCCACTTCTTCCCAGCCCCCACCCCTTCTCTTCTCTCTCCAAGCTAACCAATATTCCACAATTCCTCTCATACGCACTTCGATTCTAAAAACGGGAACCTTTTAGTAGGCTGCGATACCGTGATTTTGATTCCTAAAAGGATTCCAATTTGGAATTATTTCCAACAACTATGGGTTACATCGGTTGCTGCATTATTATAACAATGCATCTTTATAGGCTCTGTAATATGAATCCCTATCTCCTGCATCAGTGTCTTCAGCCACATCAATTCACATGTAATATGTGTCATTGCTTTATATTCAGCCTATGCACCAGATCTGGCCACAACACTTTGTTCTTACTTCTCCATGTGATCAGTTTTCCACCAATAAACGTACAATATACTATGGTTGACCGCCAGATGGAGAAATTGCCCAATTAACATCTAAACAACTCTCAATGGTCAAATGATTATTTGGCTTATAAATCATACCAATACCTTAACATTTTACAAACAACATCGCAGTGAGGAATCATTGGAGAGTGCATAAACCGACTTGTTACACTAACTGCAAAAAAAAAAATAGTGATGGTTAGATAATCTGCCTGCCTACTAGTCTTTTGTATCGTTATTTATCCTCTAACAACTCCGCCTTATTAGCAAATAATGTTATCTTTGAATTTATAGAAGTGTCAACCGGTTTAACACCTAACATTCCAGCTGATGTTAACAAATAAGTCACCTACTTACTTTGAGACAAAGTTAATACCGTGCTTTGAAATGGCTACTTCAATTCCTAGATAATACTTTTGCCAGTCCAATCCTTTGTCTAAACAGGAATGACTGATTACTTCTAGATCATTGTCTGTAATGATAATATGATCAACATAAACAGCTAAGACAATTATCCTTGAGTCAAGTTTTCAAATAAACACTAAATGATCTACATCGCTGCATCGAAATCCAAATGTCACAATAATTACACTAAATTTCTCAAACTATGTGATGTAGGAAAATAGAGAGAATAGAGAAAACGATTCAATAAACCATCAAAACATGCCAAATTTGAGTGGATATGGCTTTCCTTGCCCAAAACCCTAGATAGGGCATGTTGTTACTATTCACAGCCTGTTTTTACTGTTCACACCCCAAAAGTGATGGAAACCCTAACATCCCAGGCCTTTTTAGTACATCATAATTAAGAAAGACCAAAAGTACCCCCACTTAACTTAAAACATTAAAATATCCAAATGTGTCCCTTCACTTAAAAGAAAATTCATAATGACAATTTACCCCTAATAAAACAAGCAATCCCATAAATATTCTAATCAGTTTTACAAACATCGAAGATCCTAAAAAATATAAGAAAATCCTAAAAACCCTAAAAAATAACCCTAGAAAATTTCAAAAATACATCCTTAAAATTAATAAGAAAAATTTAAAAATAAGAGGCATATTGTCTTGCAATACTATGCATGTGGGAACCACTTCAAACCTTGGATGGCTTTCTGCAACTTACATACCTTCTTTGACTCTCCCTAAGCAACAAACACAGGTGGTTGCTCCAAGTACAAGTCATCTTGTCAATCACCATGACGGCATTCTTGACATCGATCAGTCATAGTGGTCAGTGCTTGTTTGCTGCTCCAAATATGAATTCTAAAACTGAATAAAGTATAGCAATTGGAGCAAAATTTCAACGTAATCAATGCAAACGGTTTAGGCGAATCCTTCAGCAATCAATTTGACTTCACACAAGGTCCTTCTCCGAGCAACTCAATGAACTCCCATTAACCATTTAAGTTGAATGCAACCACTTCCTCTTCCATTACTTTCCTCCACCCAGTAGGAGAAAGTACTTCCTGATATGACTTAGGATAAAAATAGATGAAAAAGCTAAAGCAAAACTTTGATAGGATGGAGACAAAATTGTAAAGTTAAGAAAACAAGCAAAGGGATATTGAGCACAAGACCTTATACCATTACGGATGGCGATAGGTACATTATCATCACCAGACATAGAATGTGAGTTAAAAGCAAGATGTCGATCTGTAGCCAAAGATGATGAATCAATGGCTGGCTAAGTCGGTCGAGGGTGTTCATCCTGCACTTTTCTTCTCGTGCAAACCTTTTTGGGTTGTTCCTCAAGAACATCATGTGTTGATCACTCACAAACGTTCGAGACAGAAGAACTCATAGGAGGGGCAGCTATATTGACATGTTTTTTTTTTTTCTAAAAATTGTTAACAATTGTATTGCTGTAGAGAGAAAGAGTACAATAGTGTGTTCATCTGAGAGTGCCCTCTAGGCAGGACTCTCGGTAAAAATAGGTCGGTAGACCCTGTTCAAAAATTGGGTTATAAGATTACCCCCTTACAAATTTTTACAAGAAAGTGGCAAGGAAAGGGCTTATAAAAATGCCCATCCGCCTTGAGATGTACAGTGTGAGAATAAAGAAAAGAAAAGACTCAAAATATTGAGGTTGAGGTCCACTAGTCCAGTGCGAAAAAGAAAGTGGACCTAGTATGAGCAGCTTGACCTCGACTTCTAGCAGCCTCCTTCGCCAGTCGATTCACGATATCGTTGGACATCCGCCAAGTATGCTGCCATGAGACGTCCATAGCCCTGCAAATTTGGTGAAGCTCATCAAAAACTGGGGTCCAATGATGAAATTTTTCGAGTCACCTACCACTATTAGTCTTGTGCCCCAGGAAGGGTTGAACTTTTTCAAAGCTAGGAGGAGGGCTAAGGCTTCCGCATGGTGAGAGTCCTTGAGGCCAAGGAATTCAGAAATGGTGAGGAGTATATTACCTTCAAAGTCTCGAAAGACTCCTCTTGCCCCTGCTGGACCAGGGTTCCCCAAGGAGCATCCTTCGAAATTTAATTTGATGCTGCCTTGGGTTGGTACCCCCGGTGGTTGGTGACGAAGGATGTTTCCCCATTGTGAGAGGAAGAAA